GGGAACAGAGATTTTGACATCAGTCTCTTCAGCAATGGGGAGACAGGAGTGACAGGAATACAGGACCTGTAGAGCTCAAAAAACAGGCCAGGTCCTAAACCCAGTTGTCCTGAACCTTGATCTTCTGCTCTGCCCAGGAAGCTGTTTAAGCTGGACCTAACTCAGAGCAGCTGGGAAATGACATAATGACTTTTTAGGCAGGAACTGTTCTGCTTAGGGCACCTTGGTCCAGATACGCTTTCTGCTCGCTCTTTGCTACCTTCCCAAAACATCTCTATTTCAAACCTTAGGATCCACACTCTCTGTCCTGGAATAAGAGACCAATGATTATAAGCAGGCTGGCATGCTGAAACCACTGAGTGAATACTGGAGGACAGAATGCCATTGACCAAGGTGAAGTCCTGCATCACCTCTGAAGAGATGGCTTACATACCCTGAAGAGCTGTGGTTGCTACATGTGACCTACCCAACCATCAGCCCCTGTGAGTTCCCTCCTTCAGGACCCCACCATCACCAGCTCTGCTGATTCCTTGTTCCAGGACACTGTGTTGTCCTCTTGAGGACACAGTTTTGCCTGTACACTCACAACCTCATTGCATGGCTAGTGCACTGGAAGTATTTACATATTTATGTTCATGTGTTCGTCACCAATTTGCCAGTGGTTCTGAGTGTAGGTGCCAGGATCTCAAGCAAAGGCAGAATTTATAGGGCATATCTAGGTTTTGCCTGAGCCTGTGCACTTCAGTGATCTCACAGGCTAGCCATGTCAGCTAATTCACAACAACACAGCATTTCTGTGTGTGCTGATCTCTTAAAACCCCTCAGCTGCTTATGTACAGACATTAATAATTATAAACTGCATAGGGCCAGGAACAATGGCATCAAGGAAGTGTTTTCCTAAGGCTGTGGAGATGGACACTCTGTCTTAATCCGAAAAAAAAACCCACAGAGCTACCTCAGATATGCAACTCAGCTCCACTGCACAGTCCAAACAGCTGGCACAGTCAGCCGTACTTTGCACTTACCAGAAGCTCTTTGTACTTTGGCCTTTTGGACTCGTCCTTTGTAAGGCTAAAGAAAGCAGGAAAAAGTATTAGGATAAGGCAAACTTAGGAAGTTATTACAGTAAATGTTAATTTTTTACAGGATAGGAGATTGATTTTACACTGGGATTCATAGCTGGCCAAGCCGTTCAAGTCCAGGAATTTGGCTCCCAAAATGAACATAGTTTTCCTACTGTGAGTCACCACATGGAGTCCCTTCCTCTCCACATGACTGAAGGTGCTGGCAAAAGCCTAAATACCATGACCACCACCAAATCCTGCTGGAGACAGAGCAAGCTAAAAGCCCATCACAACAGCTGCTGTCTCCATAAGGAAGCAGATTTGACTCCAGCCTAACTGGATTTTTCAGATGGCCGCAATTGGTGACTCCGGCCTGCTGTCCAGCCAGGACGGCAGCCTGGCACATGTGCAGAGGAGACTGGACGCAGCCTGCCATGGAGCACACACTCTTCTCAAGGTAAAACAGACAAAACACATTCTTCTTGGCATGTGTGAGGGCAAGGATGGAGCTGTAATACACAGAAGACACACAAGTCCCTCTGGCTAAGAGAAGAGCCTGTCATACTGGCCTAGCTCCACTTCACCTTCTCTTAATCCTTTCTGTCTCCCTCACAGTAAGCTGAACCTGCTGGCTGCCACCTTGCCCCAGACCTGCAGGGTGGCCATCAGGATGGGACTCTGGGTGGGAGCACAGCCCCAGAGGCAGCTCTTCGGCAGCATCAGGCTTGATTAAAACCTGCTGCTGTTCAGATGTGTCCTTCATTACCAGACACCCAGAGACAGGCTGGACACACTTGCAGGGACATCTTCCCTGCAAGTAGGCACAAATGCCTTGCAGGGTACGAGATAACAGGCCACACAGATGTCCCAAAAGCCATCAGCTCTGAGATGATCCCATCTCCTGCCTGGTTCCTACAGCAGGGAGACAACCAGCCTAAGGACTGGGCCACTGCAGGCTGGGTGATAACCCAGATCATGGCGGGGACAGCAGGTGGCAGCAAAGGCCATGAGGAAAACCCGTGGTAGGTAAGGACAACACAGGGTGGGTGCCCAGGGAGAAGTATGGGGTGGCAGAGGCTGCCTCAGGGTACCTGAGAAGGACACAGGCCCTCTGAGACCCAGTGCAGGGGCCTGCGTGAGGACCCAAGATGGAGGTAGCCCGTACCAGCAGGCCTAGACTGGTATCTGCAGAGCTGCTGGCCCTGGCACATGCCTGGTAGGCACAACGGGGTAAACTCAGAGCGCCAGGCCTGGCACCGTGCCGGGTCTAACCAGGTCCCCTCTCCTGGGTGGCGAGACAGGCTCATCTGTAGCGCTAAGGCCCTCACAGACATCCTGGCCGAGTGATCGGAGCCAAGCGGATTCACAGGCTAATTGGAGATGTCCTCCCCTTCTAGAGAAGAAGAGAGGGTGCAGTGTGGTGCCACTGCAGGGCCTGGGCTGGGAAGGTGCTCAACAAGGTGACACACAGTCATCTTGACAGTTAGAATCACAAGGAAGAAAGAGGACAGAATTAAACTAAGGCTTGAGAGAATATTTTCAGGGAACATTTTCCACCAGGACTTGAATTTTTCAAATATTTTCTTGCTCTTCCAACCAGGCAAAGACACCCCACCTGGACTGTTGCACTCACCCCCAACTTTTCCTTCTGTGCATGGGGGGCAAGCTAAGGTGTTTGCAGAGGCATCCAGCAGTCTCCCAGCCATGGGGAACAGGAGGTGGGGACAGAGACAGCCTGAATAGAGGGCTCCTCATATGCTGCCATGAGGACCACCAGTTCCAAGCCAGCAGTCATCTCTGCAGAGTCATGCTGAGAATGGCAGGGTTACATGGAGGTGCAATGGGATGCGGTGGGGTGTAGAGTCTTGCCTAAACTAGGAGAGTTAAACCTGATTTCTAACAGCAGCATGGATGAAGGATCTCTTTGAAGATGAGCCACAGTGTGGTAACAAATTATTCAGAGAAACAGAGGGTGACTACGGTACATGTCTCAGAAGTTTTCTCCTTAATCCTATCCTGAAGAGCTGTATCCAAAGGTTTGCCATTCAGACTCCACTCATCACCTCCCAAAGAAGTGAAATGCAAGCAGCCTTCACCCTCATGGTGGTGCAGGCATGTGAAACTAAGTGATGAAGCACTCGGCCTACGACTCTTACCAAATATCTGATCATGACAATACTAGTGGACTGCATGTACCTGAAGCAGGAAACACTTACCACAAGTTGACGAAGTTGATGAAACTCGGGGAGAACTCCCTTTCCTCTGAATTGCTCAGCTGTGGTGGGTCTCCTTTTACTACTTGTGTCAACTGGTCAAACACGCTGTTCCATTTGGGGTAGGGGAATCGCCCCGTGGCCAGCTCATACTGCAAAAAGACAGCAACCGCACCAGATAGACAGGTTAAAAAAGAGAATTTCAATAAAGGTAAGAAAATCTCTGCAAGTACCTCAGAAACCCCCAAGGGAGAACTTTATTCTATATCTCCTCTACAAAGCTCAACTGACAGAGACGGGGAAGTTACACTCAGTAGCTGTTTTATGTGTCTACATTGGGAACTTGGTCTCCCCATACAATCAACGGAGAGAGACACCTTTCAGATTTAACTTGGCTGTGCCATACTTGCATGCTGTGAATGTTTCCACTGATTTTATAAAGTGGACCAATGTTCTTATTAAGGTGCTTAAAGGCTGGAGGGCAAAATCCTTCCCTAGTCCCCTCCCAAACATCCCACAGTCACTAGAGAAAATGGACATGGACAGAAGAAAAACAGCAGGAAAGAAAGCAGATTGATAGAGGATACTGACTCATACTCATTGCTCACATTTTCTCTTCAAATTCAACACCTTGGGAATGGATGACTTTTTCACACTATCAAGGCACATACCCACCAGTATTGTGGTTAGCCAGAGCGGAAACAGAAGCTGAGATCCAGGATTAGTAGCAGTTTTCTGCACAGCCCCAGCACCCTAGAAGCCAGGGCTACCAGAAGCTTATTCTACATGGGCCAAGTGCTCCATTCTGCAGCACCGCACTCACTAACTAGTCTTTCTGATCTGAGATTTTGAAGGGAAAAAACTCTTCTACCATATTTCCTGCTCACATCTCTTTTGCTGCAAAACATAGCTGCAGCTAAATGCATCCCCAGGGGTTCAGGGGAGCCATCTGCTTTGACAGGATTTCTATTCTTTATGAGCCAAGAGATGCCCACCTCAATCACAGCATGCAAATGCTTCACAGCAGAGGGGCTGGGCTTTGCTTCATGCACACGTTTGACACCAACTCCATTATGCATTATGGGTATTAAGGCTACCTACTAGGGAAGTACCATGTAGCAGAGGCTTTAAATGACATTCACTTACCAATGTAATTCCCAAGCTCCAGACATCTGAGCGGACATCATAACCTTGCCTGGATGCACTGGGATCTATCCTTTCAGGCTGAAACAACAAGAAGAACAAGTCAAACAAATATGCAGTGTGGGAAGTAATAACAAGCATCTGCAGACTCAGAAAAAACCTCTAACATGCCCCTGGGAAAAGCCTGGCATGTCTCTAGAGGCAAACCTGTTGCTAGGCCATCCATTTCCAGCAGAGAAACATCTTAAGACCTGGTGGAGGTCTAGTCTAAAAGGTGATCTGCAAAGGCAATTCAGCACAACCCACTCCTCTTTTTTTCTGCAAGTATCTCAATTAACTCTCTACTATTACTCTCTACTATTTATTTAACCTCAAGATCTCTTTAATATAAAGTCTAACTTTCTCTGTTTTTGCAGCAGAGTTCTCCCTAGGGAAACACATGAACTCAAATAAACATCATCTCATCCATCAGTGCAGGGGACTGAGGTTTAGCAGCATCTATCAGATCTCCTCTTCCCAATTGTTTTTTTTTTTTGGGTTCCTAAACCTCAAGAGGAATTAAAGATGCACTTTAAGAACCACTCTTTTCTGTGAGTTTTCAGGCATCCCTGCAAGGCAACTATGAGGTCATGGTGTTACCAGGTCTTCAGACATTCAAAAAGTCTTCTCTTTTAGATAGCTCTATTAAGTCAAATGTGAATGATCTATCAGCAAAGAATGGCATATGCAGAGAGACTACTCATCATCACGCGCCAGCTCATCATGTGTGCCCTCACATGCATGCACCCCATTTGTGCCCTGTTGGGAAAAAGGGGATGGAGAAGAGTTGAGAAGTGACCTCGTCCAGGCAGAAGAGTGACCTGGAAACAGAGGACAAGTCAGGAAACGTGAGGTGAAATGGAAGCACTAAGTCTCTGCTAAAATAATGAAAATGGCCACATGAATAGCCCTTCTTGCCAGGACTTCAGAGGTACATCCCAGTCTTTGAGCAGGCTAGACATCTCTGAGGCACCATAGGATCCTTGAGGATCATTGGGAAAAGAGGTGGCATGTTCAGGTCTGAACCACCTGCAGAAGGGCAGCTTTCAACTGTGACCAAGCAGAGAGGTAGCAACAGGCACTTGGCCCTACACAGTGGTGGCACAGTTATAGGGAAGGCAGGATGGACCAAAATAAATCCCGGCTAAATACAGAGCAGGAAGAATCCTGGGAATTTTCCATGTGGATGACATGGGGGCAATTAGCACCAGTGAAGGAAGAGTCAGTGTGTAACACTCCAGGGATCTGGAAAGAGAAATGTAGACAAAATGCATCTCTTGCCAGTTGTCCTTCTAATGCCAAGTGCAAGTGAGGAGACAAAATGGCTGAGATGGAGATCAACCATTGGAAGTGCTGATGGTGTAAAGAGGCAGGGTATGAATGCATGAAATATGGTTACAGATTGTCAAAGAAGCCTCTACTCATTTGAATATGCACCTAGGCACAAGAATCTGGCTTGAAATATATGAGCAAGGTGTGGAATAAAATCCTCCCTTCTCCTCCAAGCCCCCTGTCTAAGCAAATGCATACAAGTCAGGGTATGACACAATCTTCCTATGTTATTTGGTTGTTTTGTGTTGCTAAAGAGTGAAATACATTTCTAGGAAACTACAATACTTGAATCTCAAATCCTGGATTTTTACTGGTTATTTAATTGAGGAATTTTATCTCACATGCACTGTAAATTTAATAGTTCTGCCTAGACAGCATTAAAAGGTGTAGAGCAATTTATTTGCATCTTAAACCAATGTGTCACTGAAGTCAAAGAAATAAATGGTTATAAGGAGTGAAAAAAATGGAAAGAGCTAAAATGCAACAATATAAAAAGCAGAATGAATTCTCCAGTATACAAACTTCCCTTCCCCCTAAAACACAGGAACAGATGGATGTGGAACAGAGGCCGCCAGCTTCCCTTGGAGACGGTATCTTCAGACACAGATAACGTGACCAAAGAGCTTTAGAAACAAAGTTAAAGGGACTTCCTTGCCTTTGATTGATAACAGGAGCAAGGTAAAGCATGGTACATCTGGAACCTGGTCATGCAGGCTGCAGCTGCAGACTTATCTGTGCCAAATTCATCTGCAAGTTGCACACAGAGTTACAAACGGGGCTTGCTAGAGTTAATAGACCTTTACTGCTCTGCCAAAACTGGGTAAGAGTCTTGCAGGCAAGAACGGTGCTCCTCGCACCACACTGCTCTGCTGTCGTGTTAACCAATATTACACATACGTATTTGTTTAGGGAAGGCTCATGACAAAAATGTCCCCCACTTCTTAGTGATGACCCCCTTACCATGGCTTTGCATTTACATGGCTGTGCCCTGTAACGGGCTCAGCATTCAACTCCAAACTGAAGCCACAGAAAGGAGGGGAGTGATGTTCCTGAACAGCTGCCTGCAGAGTCGTGCAACAGCAGTGGAAACCATCTTTACAACCATAAATAACTATTTTGGGAAATACTTCTATTCAGTAAAGGAAAATCCCATCGCTCACTTTTCATGTTTCTGTATTTCTCAAGAAGAATATTCCTATGGTGGAGAGCAACTTCTTTGGAGGCTCTCTGCCACACAGGCCCCTTGCACACTCACAAGCAGAGCACGAAGGGATGGCCAGTGTCAGCATAACATCAGAGAGCTAGGGTTGAAAGCCATGGGCAGAAAGGAGAGCAGGAGAAAGGCACTGACTAGCTGGGCTCTCAGCCCTCCCCCATGTTTCCTCCTTCTCCAAAACATTTGGATGCCAAGGGCAGCTCCCTCTTGCCTGCTGAGAGCTCTGAATTTTGTATTCCTGACTGTATAAATATCCTGGAAAGAACATGAGTGGAGGGACGCCCTTCCCCGAGTCCTTTACAGGGCTGGCATGGAGTTCAGGTCTTGTTAGGTTAACTGGTTCACCACCAGCCCTGCAGACACAACCCCCGTTACAAACCAGCACCTTATGGAAAGGTTCTGCTGTGTGAGGTGACCCTCCTTGGGGGCACTTGCCGTGCTGCTCCTCGAGCAGATCTTAGCACCCAAGGCGCCGTGCTGGTGCTGGAGTGGGTGCTAGGCCGGTATGGACACCCGGCCTCCTGCTGCTGCTACTCTGCTCTACAGGAAGGTCTGGGGGATCTCCCTTAACACCTCCTTCTTCTACTGGCTGCTAGGGAGCTGAAGGGTCTAATTTCATTTGGATCTCAATTCTTCTGTAAAGTGATGCCTAATAAGCTTTCCGGATCTCATCCTGGGCATGTAGAGATTCACAGAATGCGACCTCAGTGCTGGAAAAGCCTTATCTAAGAACACAGATGCGAGTCATTCACACAAGCAGTGAGAGCAGCGCACTGTCACATTTTACTGGGTAATTTTTTTCTAATTATATTCTCCTGCACTAGGTGACTGATTTTCAAAAGTTGTTTACCTTTTATTTTCTCTGTGCCCGTTAACTCAGCATCAGTCACTATAGGGATCATGCAACATCTTATGCAACAGCCTGTCCTGGTTGCAGGAGGTGACAGAGCTCCTCCTAAGGTGTGACAAAGCGGGAAAAAGGCAATACAGCACCATGGAGGAGAAGCAGAAAACACAAGTGCTGCTGGCTGACTGTAGACAAGCCACTTGCCCTTGCTCCCCAGTTTACCATCTATAAGATAAGAGCAGTAATACTCCTCTCTGCCTAAATTGCTTTCATACCTACTGATGAGAACACTACCTGAGAGATTAGAGTATTATGATTATCAAAAATGCATTAGCCAAAATATTCATCCATATTTTGACTTTTTATTCAGACATTCCTTCAAAAATCCCCTCTGTTCTTGGATTTCCTGTCCCTCCCCCTCACCCAGGTCAGCAGCGAGGCCTGTGGCTGCAGAGAGATTATCAGTAGAGATCATGTTTCTAGAGAATGGCCTTTCCTCCCCTCCTATTTCCTTTACATATTTACTCTGAGAGAATGTTTCATTTAAAACTTCTCCAACAGCATTTTCCAGGTGGAGACACCAGTTTCCGTTTGCATAGGAATACCATCTCCTCCCAGTTTGCTTTCCTACCAGAATCTGAATTCCTCAGTCTGGATCTCAAAAGCAGTAGAATCCCAGGAAAGCAATGGTCCAAGAACATTAACGAAGGCAACAAGGTTTTACTGAGCTTAAACTTTCTCATCCTGTTGAAAAAAAGGCAAATGTTTTGCCATAACATACTTGGACTAGTTCAGAGCATCATCTGGACCACAACTAATCAAGTGCTGATACTTGCATTAGTAAATGATAAACAGACAGAGTTCAAGAATGTAACTGCTCATGAAATGTCACTAAGCAGTGGAGAAGACAGCATTTATAATGGGCTCTCAAAGGGATCTATCCTTTGCCTAAGGCCACTGATATCCTCTCCCTTCAAAAAAAATCTATTTCTGCTTATTTCTGTGTATTATAAAAATGTGTTAAATAAGGGTTCTTGGCAAGCTAGTGTGATTTGAACCACTTGATATAAGCTGGGCTCATTTTAATATGCCTGGATGTTGACTCACACAGCCAGAGACAGAAAAAGCAGCACTCTGCGAGGAGGGACAAGGTCCTAGAAAAGGACAGGAGAGCACAAAATTCTGTAATAGCATCATGGTTAAAGGAGCATAACAGAGATTATGCACTAGCAGGAGGCATTCTTATTATATTCACCACAGGTGAGATGACTGCTGGACATTTGTCCAATTTCAAGGTCTACTTTTGCAAAAAAAAATTGCTAAGAAACCTAGAAAGGGTTTACAGCAGAGCCATAAAATGCAATCCAATCTACCTTAAGGGCATAAGCTGCTCAGTCTATTAATCTTCTCAAAGAAAAGCTTAAGAGGTGACTTCATCACAGTCAGAAAGTACCTACTGGGGAAAGAGAAAATGTGGCAAGTAAATAACTCCTTCACTGTGCAAACAAAATAGGACCAAAGAGCCCATGGCCATCAATAAAATAAGACTTACTCATACTAAAAAGGATGGTAGTAGAAGGGTAATTACTGATCAGGCCAACTTCATGGGCAGTATGGTAAATTCTGACAGTTGAAGAGGAATCTAAG